CAGAGAAGATTTTTTCAACACATTTCTAAACATAATAGTTGTAATAACTAATTTTTAATAACTGATTTATTTTATCTTTGCCATGATGACAGTAAATAATATTTTACTAGATTTTTTTTTTCAAGACACTTCTATACAGCTTAAAGTGACATTTTAAAGCTTATCTAGATTAAATAGGTTAACTAGACCGGTAAGGGTAATTAGGCAAGTTATTGTATAACGATGGTTTGTTCTGCAGACAATAAATCGAAAAATAAATATAGCTTAAAGGGGCTAATAAAATTGACCTTAAAAATTTTTTAAAAGACTAAAAACTGCTTTTATTTTAGCTGAAATGAAACAAAAAAGACTTTCTCCAAAAAAAAATAAAAATATCAGACATACTGTAAAAATTTCCTTGCTTTGCTTACCATAATTTAGGAAATATTTAAAAAAGAAAAAAAATTCAAAGGGGCGCTAATAATTCTGACTTCAACTGTATAAAGTGATACATTATTATTTCATAAATTCCAAGGTTTTGGTCAGCAGCATTACATCACATTTTGCTTATTTTATAAAAAAATCCTTTATTTTAGGACGCTAAATTACTTTCCTGATTATTTTTGCTATGATTTTTGCTCGTACAACATTTAGTTTTTCAAATAAGAAAGTTAGTTTTTTACACAAGCAGATTTGTTCAAATGCATCAGTATTGAACCATTTATTTTAATTAAATACATCAAATGATGTAAGAGGATTTTTACAGACTAAAAAGGTGTTCAAGGTAGTTCAAGAATTAAAAACTCTTAGGCTGTTTCCGAAACTGCCTACTAGTAGGTGCTGCATTTAAATTTAAATGTACTACTTGGTTGTTATAAAAGTGCGTTCTATACAATATGAATGTGAGCAGTATGAATGGATCACATACGTACTACATCCGCCATTTTGTCATGGTCACATGACCTAACTGCATGAGTTGCGTCTCTTCACTCCCATTCATAAATTATCTCGTAGTGCATTATGGGAAAGTGCAGCGTGCATCGACTGCACACTTCAGAATCTTGCTAGAAGTAGTAAGTCATCCAGGTACTTCTCGCATACTGTTTTTCGAATTTATACTACTCAGCTTGCGGACTGGTTTTTTAAGCATACTGTATAGTATGGAAGTATGCAATTTCAGACGCAGCCTTATTTATCAACAATAAATCTGAATTTAGACAATGTCTGTAATTGTTCTATATCTATAGTCTGTATGTAAGAAACCTACTCAGACTGTCACATGAATAGCAATTTGATGCATTTCTGAATAATAAATAGGCAAAAAAATAAATAAAAAATCAGTCATTTCATTGAACACTTACTTGATAAAATGCATATACAAGCAAATATTCTAGAATTAAAGTGTGGTTGACCACTAATCTGAATTTAGCAAATGCCATGTGGTGGTCAAACACACAAAGCACTAACATTTAAAATGCACCTTCCTCTGCTTGTAAACCACTTACCATCGGTTCATGTGATATGCGAGAACGATTGAGTCATTAAATGTGATTATCGGCTGATAACAATCCTCGGCCGATCGATCAGAGCGTCCCTATTCTGCATTTGAAATTGTTTCAGCAATGAATTAGTACATCGATATAATTTTTTTTTTTAAATAAAAAAGTTCAATCAGCATTGCTGGAGATTTACTTTCAGTAACAGATCTTGAACACATTGAACATCCTAATGGTCAGACATATTTGAAAAAAACCTAATCTAAAGCTTGCAATGTTACAAAAGATTTTAATTTTTAAAAAGTAAGTGCAATCCCTATTTTTTACATACAATCTATGAAATATTGGCAAACATATCAATAAATCTGAATAAAAACATTGGAAATGTGGTATATGGTGCTTTTCAGTGTAGAGGATCTTATTCAAACGACAACATGCTGAGCCTTACCACCATTTGATTGGATGACAATATTCCACTCTCATGGACTGCAGGCTTTAAATTAAATGCTCAAAAACCACAAAAAACATGGGCTGACTGACATGGGAGTCCGAAGGGATTAAAAAACAAATTTAATGACAAGAATGTGTCTCACGTGACCATACATTTTATTCTCAGTTGCTTTCCTCTCATGTGCGTCGCTGGCTGTATGTTGATTTTGTTTGTTTGTGTGTGTGTGTCTGTTTGTTTTTGATTGTGCGCAGGAGTGGTGCAGCCTCAGCAATGTTGTGGACCGGAGGTGACTATCAGAGTAGTCTAGAAAAACTAGCCATAAAACCGTAGTTTCTGCATCAGATCTCTGTTCAGATTAGCCTAGCCTCTTCATTTTTACTCTCTATAGTTTCACAAAAGAAACTCTCGTAGTCTCGTGTAAGGAAACGACGCTGGACAACTGCTGTCGTTTACCTCAAAAATGCTAGCTCTTTAGCGTAGCTCTATTTGAAAGAGACTAATCATTATCGCTGCTAGTGCTGTACTGCCTTCACTGTCTTCTAGAGTTTAACCTCAGTACAGCATGACGTAGACTAGCATTTGGTCAATAGATGGACTAGACTATAGACTAATATATAGTATCTTGAGTTTCTGTAATCTAGTTTTGTCTACTGTTGAAACTGGCGCCGAATCAACATCAAGTTTTCTGCACTTCTGAAGGTGTTGTTGCTTCATTTACACATCTGCAAGCTTTTAGCGACTTCATTGTTTTCAATTCAAATATAGAGTATTTTTAAGAGTGCTTGACATACTGTTTTTGATGATTTACTTGTCATTTTTTCATTTAGATAAGTCGGAAGTAAGAAAGACATGCAAAAACAAACAAACACAAACAAACAAAATAGTTTTGTTTGGCTGTCAGAAGAGTGTGTGGGTTAAGGATGTTTTTCTACTTTTATTTTGGTTGTGATGTTTTTTTTTTCTTTTTTTTCCTGTTGTCCGGTGATGTTTGCAGTCACAGATGGCCACGACAGCCTCATCTGTCCAGTCAAACTCCTTCATGTCCACTTGCCTCTCATAGAAATCTGTAAACTTTTCATTTCATTTGAATATTTACTTATTTTTTTATTTAATGGTTGTTCACACTGACAGAGATCATGCCAGATGGAGTTTGCTGGATGACAGTGATGAATGTTGTAGATGATAAAAGTACTATATCTTGTTTATTTTTTCATTTATTAAAAGTGATGTAGACTCACCGGCCACTTTATTAGGTACACATTACTAGTACGGGGTTAAACCCTCTTTTGCCTTCAGAACTGCCTTAATCCTTCGTGGCATAGATTCAACAAGGTACTGGAAATATTCCTCAGAGATTTTGGTCCATATTGACTTAGTCTGGCCATTCTCCTCCTCTATTCTCCGCCGCTCACTGCATATTTTCTCTTTTTCAGACCATTCTCTGTAATCCATAGTTGGTTGTGCATGAAAATCCCCATAGATCAGTTTCTAAAATACTCAGACCAGCCTGTCTGGCACCAACAACCATGCCATGTTTAAATTAACTTAAATCACCCTTCGTCCACCATTCTGATGCTTGGTTTGAACTGTCAATACATTTTGACATCTTTATCATGTCTAAATGTATTGAGTTGCTGCCATGTGATTGGCTGATTAGAAATTTGCATTAATGAGCAGTTGGACAGGTGTACCTAATAAAGTGGCCAGTGAGTTTATATATATTTCTCTATAAAGTGACAGTAAATAAATGCTATTGTTTACATTTGATGGGCCACACTTGTTTTAACTTTGATAATATCTAAATTTACATTTAGGATGGGTATTGTTTAAATTTTATTGATATCAATAATAATTCTGATATCACTTATCAATAGTGGCTCGTATCAATACAGTTACATTACTATTGTCTATCATTCGATGCAAAAAGATTTTTTTAAGATATAAGCAATTTCATTACTGTTAGCAAACAGAAGTGGAGGCGTAAAATATGGAGACAAATATAACTAAACACAGTGGTATGTGTATTTACAGTTGAATGGCATGTTTTGTGAGTTTTATTATATTACTAATGTTCACTATTACACTACTGCATGTTCATTTCCCGACATCCCACCCTGGATAAGCTCATAATTACAGCAAAAAAAAAACAATTCTAATTCATCAGTCGCATGATGACATCTTTGAGGGACATAAAATGATAAGCAGCAGCTTCTAGTTCGCCATTCACACCAAACTATATGGAAACAAACCAGCTCGGCTATCATTGACAGTAGCATTTGTCCTAAAGATTACTGGTACTCCAGTATCAACACAATTACGTGCCTTTTTAGACAAATACTGGTTTTTGGTCCAGTATTTTCCCATCCCTACATTTAAACATCTTTCAACTTCTTTCATGCTTAAACAACTGAATGAATGCTATTTAACTAATTGGATTCTGATCATATTTCACTGTCATTACTCTTGAAAAAACCTCAGAAATAAAGTCATTTTCATTTTCAAAGACCTCAGATGCGTCGTTGCATAATGCCCATTAAAAATATCTGCAGTATATATATATATAAATAAATAAATATATATATATATATATATATATATATATATATATATATATATATATATATACATATATATATATATATATATATATTATTTTTACTTGCATTTTATTTGAGATGCTACAGCCAACCACACAGGTCACTAATTATATTACTATCAACAACAACAACACATCAACCTGATGTCATCCAGCAATAAAATCACTGTCAGTGTAAACCGAACGTCATTCTCATCTTCATAGCTTTTCTCTGTCACTGTTGTTCTCTCATCAGATGAATCTGCATCTCGTTTCACTTCTGTCATTAGTCTTGTTCTTCCCTAAACTCTGCATGTATGAATGTACCATGATCACTCTTCTCCGACAGTACAGTTAAAAAAAAAAAGTAAAGAGAAAGCAGCAGAGCTTCTGACTGATGCTCTCATTTACAGTCCCAGTCGGCTCTGTGCTGCTGTCAGTGTTCTTCTTTCTCCAGAATTTCTAAACTTGGACCTTCTCCTCTCAAACTCTTTTCTAGATCGACCCAAAAGTTGCCTTCCCTCGGCGAGCCCAGCCTAAGGTATGTATGTTTCCGTTTGACTGGTCAACATAGTGGTCAGCAGGATGAAAGATCATATTAGGTTTATTGTTGTTGTTTTGTTTTTTTTTGGAGGGAGAGATTTTAGTTTTAGACTCTTTTGTTTTGCAGTTGGTCACTCGGACAAAGAAGATCTTTGTTGGAGGTCTGTCAGTGAACACGACTATTGAAGATGTGAAGCAGTACTTTGACCAGTTTGGAAAGGTAAGTCCTCTTTGTGTAAGACAATTGAAGGTATTATGGGATAGTGTGGTGATGGAGGAAAGCGATAAGAGTTCAGAGGCAGCTTGTTACAGTGATTTTACTATGAGGAAGTGATGTTAGTAAGGCTGGAAAAAAGGAATATGAGGAAATACAATGCAAAATGGCTTCGGCAAAATAAAATGATGTTAAAATAGTTCTGATTAATTTCACAGTATAATTTCAGCAGAATTAAATTTTAATTTTTAAATTAACACATTGTTTTAAATTGGGCTGCATGATATTGGCCAAAAATTGAGGAGTATCTGCATACAATAAAATACAATTGAACAGATACAAATGAGTTGGATGGCTTTCTGTGGAATCTAACAGCACTGAGATACAGAAATTTTATAAAATATATTTAAAATAACACTGTATAAAGAGTATCTGCAGGGTCTTAAAAAGTTTTAAAATGTCTTAAATCTCAAAAACTACATTTTAGGCCTTAAAAAATCTTTAAATTACTGTAATATTGTGTTGTAGGTCTTAAATCTTTTTTAAACAGGTCTTAATTTGCCTTTTGTTTATGTATAGCTAGTACCCAGTATGGGCAATACTCATCCAATAAATAAATAACAACCTTAGCTTTTTTTAATTAAGAATGTACTTTTCAACTCTATTAACCATAATGGTTTAATTATTTTCTTTACAATAACAATTGTATAAACATTATGTATTTACTGCTGAGGAAGCTGGTTTGGACAGTTGAACTGTTGTGCATACATTTAGTTTATTACAGTTTTTAAAATCTTTAAAACCTTTTTCAATGTTTTTTTTCTATTTTTAAGAAAGGTTATGTTGACAAAAAGTTTATGTATACAACTAGAGCTTACTTGTTTTGAAAATATTTAAACTATTTTGCTAAGAATTAAATAAAATATAAAAAAATTTAAATTATTAATTAACTTTTATCATTGTATTAAATAAATATACCAAATTATAAAAATAATTTTCAACTGGGCTATTCGAATAACTCCTTAGTGTTTAGCCCTGTATGAGTCTAGAATTTCATTTATAATGGTCTTAAAAATGTCTTAAAGGGCACCTAGGTTACCCTTTTTGCAGATTTATTGTGAATCTTTTTTGTCTCCAGAATGTCTGTAAAGTTTCAGCTTAAAACACCCATCAGATTTTTTATTATACCTTTCATAAGATTGTGTTTTATACATTTTTGCACTGGGTGACGGTTTTGCTGTACTGCACCTTTAAGGCTAGTCCTCCCTGCCCACTGTTTCTACGTGGCTTTCTGCATGCATTAATCTCATACCTCGGCTGTGTCAGAAAACAAACAGACATAAAGGAAGCAGATCTCACGCATTGTGAGAAATACTACAGTAAGAACTTTACCAATGAGAATTTGATGCATTTGCAGTGTTAAGTTACAACGATTATTAACACACAATGTCATTAAAAAGTTCACGCGCACATACACACACACACAAACACACACACATACTCAGCACGAATCCGATATGCACATACATACAGACAGCGCACATTTAGCTTTGCACTCTTTTTGCGCGCAAATGTGACAGGATACAGGTGAATCTCCACTGCTGTATGGATATCTGTTATGTTAGTGTACAAAAAAAACCTGATTTGACGTCCACAAACCAGGATTAAAGCCTCTACTTTTATAATTGTTCTGACACGCGGCTGTGCTGTTGAAGTCAATCTGAAGTAAATCTGAAGAATACTTCAATCTGAAGTAATCGCTGTAATTGATTACACACATGCACTGTTTTAAAAAAATTTCAACTTGTAAAACTCACTTGAGTTTTTTTGATCCTAGCAAACTGAACAGACCTTTTATTTCCGGTAGCTTTGCGCACATCCTCTCTTGTTGATATGATTATACAGTGACTACCAGTACATGTTATGCAGCTGTCAATTAATTAGGTGGATGGGGGAACCCCACTCCTACATCACGATGCGGTCTGTCTGAAAACTGCTCCAATTGGTCTACCGTTTTTATGTTGTTGATTTTTTTTTTAAAAAGGATTCGGTGTGTTTATCAACTTAATATGACCGCCTATAAACTATATCACATATGTCTGTCCAAACAGCTTGAAAAGTATTTTTCACCATAAGTGCCCTTTAAGTCTTTAATTTAACTTGCTGAAAGCTGCAGAAACCCTGTGTATAGTGTATATAGTGTCTTCATTGTTAAAATAATTAAAAACAATTAATTTTGGTTTATATACATTTATAACCTTTTGATTTAAGTTTTCTTAAATCATACACAAGTCACAAGTTTGAAAAAACAAACCAAAATAAAAATATTTTACTCTATTTTAGGGTTAAACTTGTGAGACCTCTCAAATGACATTTTCTGAAGTGTGATGCTGATCAACTAAAATCCCAATTTGACATAGCTGATTCTGCGATGTTACTATTGCAGATTCACACATTGCAATATTGATGCTGAAGCGATATATTGTGCAGCCCTAATTGTAAAATATAAATTATTATTAAAAGGTTAGGAATATTTGTGCTTTTATTTGATCAAAAATGCAGTAAAAACTGCAGTTTTGTTAAATATGATTACGCATTCATAGTTTTTTAACACTTAAAAATGTTGTTTTATTTGGCATAGATAAAGTTTCCTCATCTTTACTCCAGTTTTTGATGTCACTTTGATCTTTTAAAATAATTTTGAAATGCAGATTTGATGATTAAGAAACATTTATTGATGTTCTCGATTAATTATATTTAAAAATTATGGTTACATAGAAGGTTCAAAAGAACAGAATAATTGTTTTTAAATTGCAAACATTTCAAATACATGTATTTACTCTCACTTTTGATCAATTTATAATTGGTCAAAAAAGATCAAAATAGAATTTTAGCCTTCCTTCCTGAATTAAAGTATTCATTTCTTTAAAAAAAAAAAAAAGAAAAAAAATATGCATTAACTTTCATATATATTTCATATACTTTCATATATTCCATAAGCTGGAAAAAAAGGCTACTGCATTTTTTTCATCACAAATTTCAATTTAAAATAAAAAGTAAGAAACAAGTTTATTTCTCATGATTCTGAGGGAAAAAAGAATTTAATTGAAAGATACAACAACTTTAAGAAATACAATTAGAATTGTAAGAAAGCCTATAATCTTTTAATTACAAGAAATAAACAATAGTTTTCTAAAAAAAAGAGAGAATATAAAATATAACTATAAAATTGAGAGACAAATAGTTAGAATTAACATTTACGTGCTTGTATAACCTTAATATATTTTACAGTAGTTAACATTTAAAGTGCATCAAAACCTTTCATCAAAACTGTCCAAAAACTTAAAATTATAATTTATACTTCTATATACAGGGGTCGGGCGACAGGTAGTGTTCTCGCCTCACAGCAAAAAGGTCACTGGTTCTAGCCTCGGCTGGGTTAGCTGGCGTTTTTGTGTGGAGTTTGAATGTTCTCCCTGCGTTCGGATGGGGGGGCTCCGGTTTCCCACACAGTCCAAAGACATGTGGTACAGGTGAATTGGGTAGGATAAATTGTCCATAGTGTATGAGTGTTTATGGATGTTTCCCAGAGATGGGTTGCAGCTGGAAGGGCATCCGTTGCGTAAAAACATATGCTAGATAAGTTGGCAGTTCATTCCACTGTGGCAACCCCAGATTAATAAAGGGACTAAGTCGAAAAGAAAATGAATGAATGAATGAATGATACAGGGGTCTTAAAAAGGGGTCTGCTGGGTCTTAAAAAAGTTTTAAAATGTCTTAAATAAAAAATAGTAATAATAATTTAATTTAGGCAAATATTAAACTCACTGAAATATAGTGTTGAAGTTCTTTAATCATTTTAAACAGGTCTTAATTTCCCTATGTCTAAGTATAGCCACCCAATCTGGCCAACACCCAATCATCTAATCCATCTCAAAACTTCATTTTTATATACAGAATATATTAACGTTTTTTAATGCAAAGAGATACAATTCACAACAGCTGTTAGACATTTTTAAAGCAAATTCTCCAAACTAAATTCCCTAATCAGGGAGAAAAATAAACCTAAAGAAAACTAAAGCTACACATCCCTTTAAACGATCTTCCATCAAAACAGAAATTATTTACAGAAGTAAAAAAATCTTCTTTGGCCCTGTATAAGTCTAAATTTCATTCATGATGGTCTTAAAAGGAGCTTAAAAAGTCTTAAATTTGAAACCTGCAGAAACCCTGTGTATACATACAGTTGAAGTCAGAATTATTAGCCCCCCCTTTAATTATTATTTTTTTAATATTTCCCTATTGATGTTTAACAGAGCAAGGAAATTTTCGCAGTATGTTAATATTTTTTTCTTATGGAAAAAGTCTTATTTGTTTTACTTCAGCTAGAACAAAAGCTTTTTTTAATTTTTTAAAAACATTTTAAGGTAAAAATTATTAGCCCCTTTTAAGCTATATATATTTTTTTTGATAGTCTACAGAACAAGCCATCATTATACAATAACTGGCCTAATTACCATAACCTGCCTAGTTAACCTAATTAACCTAGTAAAGCCTTTAAATGTCACTGTAAGCTGTATAGAAGTGTCTTGAAAAATATCTAGTAAAATATTATTTACTGTCATCATGACAAAGATCAAATAAATCAGTCATTAGAAATGATTTATAAAACTATCATGTTGAGAAATTTGTTGAGAAAATCTTCTCTCCGTTAAAAATAAATTGGGGAAAAAAATAAACAGGAGAGCTAATAATTCAGGGGGGCTAATAATTCTGACTTCAACTATATATATATATATATATATATATATATATATATATATATATATATATATATATATATATATATATATATATATGTGTGTGTGTGTGTGTGTGTGTATGTGTGTGTGTGTGTGTGCGTGTGCGTGTGCGTGTGTGTGTGCTGTGTATATACTGTATAGTACAATGAAAATCAAACATGACTCATCAGATCAGAAATTACAATCAGATTCAGAAAGAGTCATTATAACTTCAAATAACTTAAAAGGTTTTACAGAGGTGTGCTGAGTGAAATTTGAGCCAGTACTTTGGGGAAGCATAAAAGAGAGCAGAAGAAGGGCTCTGAGAGAAAGAGTTGAGCTGGAGTTGGAGAGTTGGAGGGTTGAGTTTTGTTTGCAGGGGAAGGTGGGGGAGATTACTTGAATCTGAATTAATTTGATGGAACAGCTGCTCCTGCTCTCCTACCCCCCCTCCTACCCGGTTACCACGGTGACCTTGCCCATCTATTGTCCCCAAGTAATTTAGCGGGCAAAAGGTTTTGTGTTTGGGGTGTGTGTGTGTGTGAGGAGAGAAAACGAGGGAGAGATTGTGTTTTTAGGGAAGGATGAATGTTCATAACTGAAGTACCTCAACAATACGCTTCAACGACTGATGGGCTTCTGTAATCTATCATCCGAGGTTTCTTTGCGTCGCACTTCAGTTACTGTCAGCATTTTGGGTTTTGAACTTTGTCAGAAAATAATTTATCATTCTTGAACCATACTTGTGAGAGGAATGCAGACAGAGAGAGAGAGAGAGAGAGAGAGAGAGAGAGAGAAAGAGGGAGAGAGAAAGAGAAAGAGAAAGAGAAAGAGAGAGATGATAGTCACAGGCACCCGGGGAAGTTGCAGATTAGTTTGCCTCACTGGTCACTTTGTGTTCTGGCCTGGTTTGAACAAGGGATAGAGAGAGAAAAACACACCATGAGAAGAAGCACAAAGAACAAGAGGAGACTCAATTTAGAAAACTTTTACAAAAGATTGTTATGATCAGGATGATTTTTGAAATGTGAATGTGAAAGAAGAGTGTTGAATGTTAACAGGTTGAACTGTTTGAAAAATCAGGCAGTTGTAGTCATTTAGTACTCTGCTGTCTGGAATGCTTGATTTTGATTAGCCAGTCGCTACATTCCAAGGTATGTTATTCCTAGATAACAAACAATGAAACTAATAACAACACAGGTGTCATCTTGACGGTCTTCAAAAATAAATTTATGCTTAACTGCATCTGGCCTTTGTTTTTGAATTTTTTTAATTTAGAATTTTTGCTGCCATTTTGTGACTTAATAATATATAGGGTTGGGTAGGATGCATTTAGCCATTTTTATTTTCTTTTAATAATAATATTTAATATTATATTATAATATAATATAAATAACTTTTAAATAATAATAATTCTTTATTTTAATTTTATTTTAAAGATTCACTTAAAGTGCTTTTAAATGTGAATTTTGTGTGAAGTAATTTGAAATTAAATATTAAGAGAGGGTGGTGCAAATAGTAGCCCCTCCTCCTTTAAAAAGCAGCCAATAGTATTTCGATTTTATCACATCTCTGCCAGGGGAGTGGTTGGAGTCAAGGTTTTGCCACTGCTTTAGAACACACTGGATATCTTTAAGACTACCATACTAATGCTAACTCCTAAAAAAAAACATTATTTTGATTTCACAGGGACTTCAGTTAGAGAGTTAGTGATATATTACTGCTTGAGTAAATGTTTTGTGTCTAATTGTTTACTTTTGTGGCAAACAGCCATGTAATAAGTGGGACAATGTAAATCTAGCGGGTTGTTCTCACAGCATTTAAAGCAGAGGTCACCAATCTTGGTCCTGGAGGGTTAGTGTCCCTGCAGGATTCAGCTCCAACTTACCTCAACACACCTGCCTGGGTGTTCCAAGGATACCTAGAAGACCTTGATTAGCTTGTTCAGGTGTGTTGATTAGGGTTAGAGGTAAAATCTGCAGAACACCGGACCTCCAGAAATACGTTTGGTGACCACTGATTTAAAGTCTTATACAACAGTTAATAAGGCTGACGGGCTTTACAACCAGCTGAATATACCTATTTCCTTACATATCAGCAGTCTAATCAAAACCGAGACTCTCAAAAAAAAAAAGAAAAAAAAAAGATTTTTGCTGATTTTTGTTTAAACTACTTGTTTAAAATAAGCTGAAACTACACAATTCTGGAGATTTATTTCGGAAACTTAATTGTTTAATGTTCAATCTACTTAAATTAGTTACATTAACCTAATATATTTGTTTTTGGAAAACATTAATTAATTCTGTGAAACCCTCCATTTTTCAGTGTACTGTATTTTCTCATTCAGGCTGCCTTATTGGGGATTATTAAAGGCATGTTCACAACAAAAATGTAAACTATTTCTAGAACTACAAAGATATTGTAACTTTATTAGTGCACATTCCAGGGGACAGTAACATAATAATTTGAAGTGCTCGGCAGTTTTTGACTTCTGCTGCTTTAAATGCCTGAGCAGGTTGGATTCTGATTGGCTGTTTGTGGGTGTTCAACCGTTAGCCAGAAAAACCAACAACAATAATATAGTTTGCCTTTATTGTTGTAGTGCTTAATCTGGTACTTGTTACTTTTAAATTCAGAGAAGTTTTAGAACTGTATTTTATAGTTAATACTGTATATTCTTACAGTCATTGTCCTTGTGAACTGGAAGGGTTAATTTATAAAAATCCGGTCATCATTTACCAACCTTAAGTGTTTATAATAATTTTTGAGTTTCGTTTTATGTTGAACAAAAATAATTTTAATGAATGATGGAACCAGCAGCTATATTGTATTTTATTATTTCTAATATGGAAGTCAATGGTATTCATGACACAATATCAACCAATTAATAACTAGTTGTAAAGATCATTTCAATGTGGTCATGTCACTGAACCCCATGAACATTTCCTGCTTGTTATTAAACTATTTCATTACTTTAAAATGAGGCAATTTAATCAGAAACTGGCTACCATAACATTATTTATCAATATGTGGCTTTTTTTTGGATTCTCGGAACCTATAGAAATGAAAAATGTAAAACGGGAAATATGTTGGGACCATTGTTTTTTGTTTACATGCCTCAAAATGGTCTATAAAACAATATTACACTACTAGGCTAATGGATTTAGGCGAATACATTTAAAAAGGAGTAAAAGGAAACATGGAAAACACACCAAAAGAGTGTCTTGACCAAAAGAGTGTGAGTGTGAGTGTGTGTGCACATAAAGTGTTGATTGGTCAGGCTGTCCACTTGTATTTCATTTTCTAGATTGAATATGAAACAGTTTTTTTTTCATCTCCCTCTTACAAAAAAACTTCTTAGTTTGACCTTCACCTCTGACCTTTAGGCTTAGGCTGTCTGTCAGTATGCGCACAGTGACGCACTTTTGCACACACATACACACTAAAATGCAAGACAAACACACTTTCACACGCTTTTAAGAGACACACTATGATATTGTAGTTGGCAGTCAAACTAATGTGACTTTAGTTCACCTTAAAAAGGATAATTGATTTATAATTTACTCGCCTCAGGCTCATTTGTGGTACAATACATTTTTGGGCTAAACTGTGGCTGTTGGTAAATCATAAAATGGAAGTTGTTTGCTACTAGCACTATTACAACTAAAATAAAAATCATATAAAGGCAAAACAATATTATTACCCATAGTTTTTAAGATTTAAATATTTTTACTGTGCAAATGTCAAATTTAAGGATAATATACAATTCAGAATTCATTAGGTTTTGTTTATATTATTATAAAGCCTAAAGCCTATTGATTATTTACCAAAAGATATGTTTATGCCCCAAATCTCTGAGCACTTTTAGCTTAGCTTAGCATAGATAATTGAAGCAGTTTAGACCATAAGCGTCTTTTGATCCTTTCATATTTTTAAAGCTTGACTTTTCTGTGGTAATATTGTGTGCTAAGACCAACAATAAATGAAAAGGTTGCTATTATTACATTGCAGGCCAATATAGCTAGGAATAACATGGCTGCAGCAGGTGAATTGATGTTACGGCACATGCTTCCTGAGCAAACAGGTGATCTGGCGCTGCATAGTTTCATTGCATGTCCTGCAGCCATGGTACAACAGCAAAGTTTATTGATTATTAGGATAGAATGAGAGTAGAGTTTCTTGCCATGCCTGTCATTTTTGAGTGAGATGCTAATGGTCTAATCTGATTTAGTGATTTATGCTAAGCTAAGCTAAAAGTGCTCCCGACAGACCCAGAGATCTGCTGAATACATTTAAAAAATGGTATAACTCTTTGGAAAAAATGGAAAAGCTATTTTTTAAAAGTGATTATTTGATATTTGGTCATCAGAAATTAAAAAAAAAAAACATTCTCTGTTGGTTAATCACAATTTTTTTATTGTAAATATATTGTTTTTCTTACCTTACCTAACACTCTACTAACCGAAAGAAAACTTTACCAGAACATTCAGGTTTAGATTTACCTTTAGGCTGTTAAAATTCTAGAAAATGTTCCCAACTAGTTCCTACCAAAAATGAATTAATAAATAAATAAATGTATAATAAATACGAACTGAATGGAGGTCATTTTGGGATTATTAGGAGTTTATAGGGTACAAAACTGTAACTATTGCTAGATAACAAATAACAAATGTACGTAATCTCTGTTTCTGTTCTACAGGTAGATGATGCCATGCTCATGTTTGACAAAACCACCAACCGTCACAGAGGTAAGTTACCCTTTATCGTCAGTTGGTTAAAAAAGTTCTTTAGCTCGTTTCTTTAGCCATTCTTTAGCTCGTTTCTTCCTTCCTCCCTTCCTAAACCTAGTCCAATCTGTCTCCATCTCTTCTCCATGGCCCTCCATCCTGTACTCTGTAGGATAAGCGGTAGGTGAGGAGAGAGATTGAGTAATTAGTGTGTTCGTTAATCAGGGTTTAGTCTAAAACCTTCGTTAAGCGCTCTTCCCTCCCCCTGCCGGTTCAAGAGCTCATCGATTATGACAGCTTGCATGGCTTTCAACCCAGCGGAGACATGGAGGAGAGGAGACACGTGGAGAGACAGACAGCAGAGTAGACCACAGAGAAACCAGTTTCTGGAGCGAAATTCTAGCAGCACATCTTTTTGTTGAGATAGTCTTGCAGTGTTTACAGAGTTGAAGTGGACATGTGGGTGACTTCAAACGCTTCAATTAGAATATAGGTCACAGTAAATCGGCATAATTACAGTATTAAGGGCAAATCGTAAGGACACTCACATTCACAAGTATAAAGTCTCAGAATGGAGAGATTATATATAGACAGAGGGGCAAAAACACATCAATTTATATACACAATTAATTTTGTAGTTTGTAATTTTATTTATTTTTGTTTTTCAACACCTCATTTGAATTTAAACGTTCTATTGCTAAAGAAATAAGGTGACCACACTCTTATTTTAATGAATATAACTGATTAATAAAACTGTTTTGATTAAACTCACCAAAATATATTTTCTATATTCATGGATACATATACATTCTATATTCATAGACAGAGAACAAAAGAAAATTTATGAAAGTAATTACAGGGTGTCCGCAGGGTCTTAAAGTATTAAAATTTGATAAATCAATTATGAGAAAATTAAGGCCCTTAAAATGTATTAAAAAGTCTTAATCTGGTTTTTACAACATTTTAAAAAACATTTTGTTTGTCCAAAGTGTTTGACTCCAAAAAAGCATAATGTATGAAGAGTTCAGATACAAAACCCTCTAATTCCACCTCTTTTCTTGTAAATGAGCATTTTCTATCAGGCTCCTCTTGATAGGTTCAGAAGTTTCATTTGATTGCTAATGATAAGAGTATTAGCTAATAAATAAAATACTTTTTTTTTAAATGTCACTTTAGACAATTCTTTGGTTTTTAACAAGATAATTGTTTTATTTTGCATCAACCATTTAAATCCACTTGTGCTTTTTTTGCAAAAACCTCTAAATTCAACTACTGAGACAAGACAGTGTAATCAGTTGAAGATCACTTACAATGCAATTAGAAATTATTTTACCAGACATAAAACACCTAAAATTAAAATAAATAAATCTGTCAAGTATGTGGCAGTTCATTCCGCTGTGGTAACCCCTGATAAACCAGGGACAAAGCAGAGGGAAAATTAATTAATAAAATCTGTAAAGTTCATTAATCAATAACATTAAAATTGACATTGATTAAATCTTAACAATCTGTTGTCATTTCAGATATTTGGGATTTAGATTTATTATAAGTAGAGCAATGTAAACATTGCAAACATTGTAAACAAAGCTTGTTAGATTCAAATAATGTAGTGTAAAACCATTGCGAAACATCAGTTTCTCTGCATTGTCCATTAATATAAAAAGTCTAATATAAAAAGCTTATCATACCTATAGGTAATATGAAGTAATAAAAATAATTTAAAGTTTATACATTATATTTATCTTTTAAAAAAGGTCTACTGGGCAAAAAGGGAGTGTCTGTCAGACACTTTTAGCTGTCATTCATTCATTCATTCCCACCATACTATCAGTCGTTGTCTCTTTTTCATCTCCTCTTTATCCTCATGGCATCAATGCGGGATAAAAGAACAGTATCTTACCTCTGTTTTTCGTGAAATGGAGTTGCTGTTTATTGAATAGTAAATCAGACTAAAGTAGCATCATTGCGCAAAAAAAAGCATTATGAATGCAAGCAACTTACTCTTCCGACTGTACATTGTTTTATTTTCTTATAATGCAATGAGTTTTAAGGTAAGGGACGTTTTCATTTGCCATTCACTGACTGTCGGACAGGCTCATCCAATTCATCAAACTCCATCTTTTAAAATCAAAATCAAAAGCCGTCTTCTGATTGTTTCTGGAGATATAGCGGCTTTTACTGTCAAAGGCAAGTGGCATGTAGAGGCTTTTACCAGCAAACTGTTATTTCTGAATGTGCTGACGCTGCGATTTAGATGATTTGGAGCAAATCTATTTGTTGATGGTGTACTACATGCCTAAAGCGTTCACTCAGTGTCATTAGCTCATTTTTGGCAGAAGAACTCTTCATATGTTTATTTTCCTTGATTCAAGCAATTTGGTTTGGGGTACATAAAAACCGCATAATTTAGTCTTTCAAGCTTTGTTTCTTCAGAGCTTATCTGAGTTTTGTTGCATTATTGTGCTCCATTGATCCTTGTGGTTTATTAACAACTGTTTATTAAGTTAAAGGTTTTATACTGATTAGAACATGAAATGGCATTGAGGTTTTAAAATACTCAGAGAAGGTATTTAAAACAGACTTAAAAAGTGATTGAAATTATCTTTAGAATTCCTGCATTTACCGTTTATTACCAAACTAATGATATCTGAAATAAATTATATATTTTAAGATGTTTTAAACCAGAAAAGTTATTTTGCAATAATAATTTAAAAACTGAACTTTATTTTTGATTAATTACATGCAAGCTTGGTAAACAGCAGAAAATTATAATAAAAAAAAAACATAAAACCAGCAATGACAATTTTATTTACTTTATTAAGTGGTTTCAGACTTATGACCTCACATTTGCCTCACGATTATTTATCTGTTTTATCTATTTTTATTCTATCCTGTTATTTTATAAATGAGCAATATCACATGAGTACCAGTGCGCTATGGTTGTATATCGGCACTGGTGGGAGGCGTGCGTTAGTGTCCCATTAGTGACGATATACAGCCATATCGCACTGCTACAAGTGTGCTATTATGTTTATACAACAGTTCACTTCCTTTATAAAAAAAAAGAAAATCTAACGTGAGAGTCTGAAAATCCTTTTTTATGTGGAACTACTTTCTTCTGCCCGTCATCACATCTGCAGCTGACGTCAGAACAGCAGAAACCATTGCTTCTTCACCAACGTCACTTTAGAGCTAGTATTTGACTGATTCTCCTGCATAATGTCAAAAGTGATAACAAAACAGTTGATCTTGCTCACATTTTAAGATTATGAAGCTGAACAGTATGAAATGCCACCAGTCTACAGAGATTTCCCAGATATTCTCTGTTGCAATTGTGATATCACAATAATTAACCCCGAAAAAGCCAAAGCAGCACAAACACTACCAGATTACTGTTGTGTTTGTGATAAGGAAAACTGATAAACACAGGCGGGTATTTCCTTTTTCTTTCTTTTTACTGAACTAGTCTGCAGTAATAAAAAAAACAGGAGACGCATTAGAAACAAACAGTAGGCCAACCAAAAAGTAACTCAGGGTTATACAAAGAGGGGCCAACACAAAATACATCCCATTTCACACTCCCATCTCATGAGTCCCATCTCACGCTCAATCCACTACAGCTACTAAGAAAGAGATTGACTTAGAATGTAATCGACCTGTTTAATAATTATTTGATCAGCTGTAGTTAGAAATTACGCTGTTCTTCTCTTTCAAGGGCTTATTATGTGGTCTCTTTCCCCATCCTGTGGATGGACAACATCAACTGTCTTTGCTCTGCTCAATGACAGGCAAATGGCTGCCGACATGCTGTCCCTCCCAAATTGTTAATATTTTAAATAGGCACTGTTCTTAGAATTAAACGGCATAGTTACAATCTAAACAACTACAATCTCATCTAAAAAAGCCTCAAAAGTACATTGTTGTCCAACAGCAGCAATATTTGTCAAACTGTAGAGTGTCCTCTGTTTGTCGCTGTATGTGGGTGGAGTAATACACAAGGGAGAAAGGTTAAGAAGTGGTGCGAGTGCTGTTATTTGCAGAATATCGCACAGCTATCAACCTATCAGATTCAAGAACCAGACAGAAGTGTTGTATAAATAAATATATAAACAAGATGTGCACATTTGATTAGCAATCACATTGGCATTTATTATAAAACTGTAGATGGCGCTTTCTGTTATGGTAGGAATTTGAACATAAAAAATTATTAGGAATTTTAAAGACGTAACATAGCATGTCGCTGCACCTATTCCAGTGTCAGACTCTCTTTAAACCACCTGTCAACATTAGGATTTAGAACTAAGGCAAGGGGAATAAAAACATTTGTAAAAACAGTTTAAATACTGGAAAATACAGTTAGGTATATAAATATTGGGACAATTTTACCATGGTTGGCTCTATACACAAACATAATGTATTTGAAATGAAACAAAGCAAAATGTGCTTTAACTGCAGACTGTCAGCTTTCATTTGAGAGTATTTACATTCATATCAGGTGAATGCTGTAGGAATTACAAAAATTTGCATATGTGCCTTCCACTTGTGAAGGGACCAAAAGTAATAGGACAGAATAATAATCATAAATCAAACTTTCACTTTTTAATACTTGGTTGCAAACCCTTTGCAGTCAATTACAGCCTGAAGTCTGGAACTTAAAGTCTTAAAGCTGACAGTCTGCCATTAAAGCACATCTTGTTAGTTTCATTTCAAATCCGTGGTGTTGGTGTATAGAACCAAAAATGTTAGAATTGTGTCGATGTCCCAATATTTATGAACCTAACTGTATTTAAACCTGGATGATAGAGTGGCAAAATGCATAAGAATCTTGTGAAAAAACACCAAGGTTGATAGATATTCATTAAACTATATAGGACTCATAGCAATCGCATTTTATCGATTTGATTTTTTGTTCTATTGTGCTCCATTTGTGAGTTGCTCTGTTAAACAATTAAATATAATTATACAAGTAAGTGCAACAGCACAGTCATGACATGTCTACAAAATCATGGTGAGATTATAGAACTTCTTAGTGACTCATTCTGGTATTTCTTGAAGTGAAAATGGAAGTATTGTTCAATGGTTTTACATTGGCAGTTTCATCTGAACTTCTCAGCCGAGTTTGACCTGAAGTATATGAACTGTAGACACTGTTTATAATGACAGCTGAAGTGGAAATCCAAAATGTAAACTGCGGTCTGAGTGTCTGGACTCTTTCTTCCCTCAGGGTTTGGCTTTGTGACCTTTGAGAACGAAGATGTTGTGGAGAAAGTCTGTGAGATCCACTTCCACGAAATCAACAACAAAATGGTAAGATCAGGATTCTCACACACTGTTTGCTTCAGATGGACTATTATAATAACGACTGGCTGATCTGCTTCTTTAATCACAGGTGGAGTGTAAGAAGGCCCAGCCCAAGGAAGTGATGTCACCAACGGGCTCTTCCAGAGGTCGGGCTCGTGTCATGCCTTATGGGATGGACGCCTTCATGCTGGGCATAGGAATGCTGGGTAAGAGCGTAGATCTTGAAGAGTTCATTCGCCGGAAATGAATTTTTTCATTCTCATGTTGAGTCATATCCATCAGACTTAGATTGCACTTCTTTGGATCTCAAATGAAGATATTTTTAATAAGTTCTGAGAGATATCTGTTCAAAACATTCTCAAAGAGATCATAAAATAAATCATATAAATCATGTGGTGAAATCCAAGTCTTCAGAAGACTTCATAAACCAGGGTTATTTAATTAAAGTCTCAAGAGGCCATATTTCCATCCCAGCAGAGGTTAATACCTTAAATACCAAAGCAGTGGTGTCTTAGGAAAAAAAAAGCTAAATGCTTCATCAGTTGAGTAAAATTGAATAGGATTACTAAATGTTAAGTGCAGAAGTTTATCAGGCTATTATTATTTGTACATTTCGAGATTAATTAAGGACATGACTAAGAAACAATGTTGCATTCAGGTTCATTTTAGTCTTACTATTTTATTTATTCAGTTTCAAATAAGCAGGCTTATCTACTGAAAGGAGCCTACATAATTATCAGACACTAGCTGCACATCCATCAAACTGTAATAAACATTTTGAAGTATTACAGGTTATATAAATACCCCACATTTAGAAAATAAATCTCTTAATTCATTGAAAAAAGTTTTTACGCTCACTAAAGGGGTTTTTGGAAACCCCGAAAAAGGGTTAATGTGAATAACAGGAGATGGATATGCATTTAAACTGATGTGATGAATGATAAAAAAAGCATTGAATTTAACCCTCTCTTAGGTGTAATTTGCTTTCAAAGTATTTTTACAGTTTAGTTTTAGCGATCTTTATGATCTTCATGCACAGTTGCGCTCCCTTCACAGTGCACATTAAAAACATTAATGTCATTTTGAACACAGCCATGGCTCATGACAAAAGCTATAGGTGACCTATTATTTAAAAGTGGAATTTTTGTTACATTTCCAAAGCTTGTGCAAACAGAAAACATAGTATACGTTATTGCTTTTAATTTAAAGTAGGTTATTTATTAAGTATCTGTACTGTATATGACATGGGCCTGTTGGTTAGAACATTTCTGCAGTGGTTTACATGTGTCAAATTTTAAAAGAAGACTTTTCAAAAAAAAAAAAAAAAAAAAACAATATCCTACTTAATAATAATAATAATAATAATATTAATCATCATCATCATTATTATTATTAATATTATTAAAGAAAGATTTCTATTTCAATTCCTAATAAATAACACGTATTACATTTTCTTTCTCAATATATAGCCTCTTTATTTATTTACCCAGGAAAGTGTCACCCAGGAAAGTGACAGGCCCGATTGGGCCGTTGCTGCTTTGTCACTAAAGTTTAATCTGCCTGTGACTATTTCTCTGTGAAGTCGTAAGCACTGTATTGCTTTTCGAATTCTCTTATTGGATTGGATGTTATGAGCATGTTATTTTTTTCCATAACCTGATGACAACCAGTACAGCGAAGAGATGGCAAAATGAAGGCAACATCAAATTATGAGGCTTAAAGAAAACATCTGTTTCTAATGTCTAGAAGCATACATGGGTACAACATGACAAAAAAAGTGATGTTTTGCACAGTTTGCCATTTGGCAAGTCAGCCATCTTTTTGTTTTGCAATAAAATACCTGCACATTTTTTTTCATACTGTTATTTTTGTTTGCATAACACTTTAAATTTTGCTCATTATACATTTTTTTTAAATTGTTTGAATATGTACAAATGTTATTTTTGACACATTATTTAAAATATGTATTCGGGCCTGTATCAAAAAATCCTTAGCATTGAACCCTGCACCCATTTTACTAATCAGCTCTTTCCTTCATGCTTGCCTTGTTTATTGTTGGTTGCTAGAATACCAATACTACAGTCGGCAGCTCTAACAACTATAGACAACTTTAGCAACTTTTTTCTTTTCTTTTTTTTTTTTTTGCAAACATTAAAAAATTTGTGTCATGTTAGAATGAAAACCCTGCTAGTATAATCATGAGCAAAGTTAAACTATTTATGAGATGAAGTTGTTTTTTCATCTACACTAAAAATAACATTTACTACTAATTTAAAATGAGTTGAAACAACACAATTTTTATTTTTTGGGTGGATAACCTAATCATTTTTACTCATTTAAGAGGATTGAGCATAAAAAAATTAAGTAAATGTAATTGATTTGGGTTGAGACAACATGAAGGAATTGTGTGGAACAGCTTTTTTACAGTGTAGCTGCTCCCATTCACATTGTTAATTCTGAAATGCTCTAAATGTCGGGAATACAAACTGTTGTTACAAATCCTGTCACAAACTTTATTTATAGTTTTATTTTAATTTTATTTGGACAGTCAGTTATATATGTGTCATTGTACTCATCAAGTTTTTAGCATGAGTACCAGTGTTTTGCTATTCAATGTTTTTTTTGCTACTGTTGTTAAAATTACAGAGTCATCTATACTTCTTGTGACTCGTTTGAAGAAGATTTGGCTCTACATAGAAATATTCAAGCATATAGTGCCAAAAAATCATGGCCGTAAATGACCCTGAGCAATTGTGGTGTGTTTTGATGCATTGTTATCTTTAAACTGCAGAAACTGTCAAGTGTTACCATTGTCTTGCAGCCCTGTTGGAACCAAGAAGTTTTATCTCTTTATGAATGTTTGCAAAGGCAGAAACGTCTCAGATTCCATGAAAAATATATAATAATGTGTACAAAATTAATTAATATGGGTTTGTATTGACATGACTATGAGTAAATTTTGGGTGAACTAACTTTTTAATAGCTGATTACGAGAATAAGTAAATAAATAGTTCAAAATGAAAAAAAAAAGAAAATTCTATCACTGCTGACTCATCAACAACTTGTTAAAACTTTCAATTACTTTCTCAAAAGAAAATATTGTGAAGAATGTTGAAAATAGGTAGCCATTGATTCTATAGTATCTTTTTGTTTTCCTATTACGTATGGATCGCTCAGTTTTCTACAGTCTTTGGATTATCTTCTTTTTGGTTCAACAGAAAACAGATCAAGTAACCCAAACTGGGTCCTGGAGTTTCCTGTATATTTCAGCTCCAACTTCCATCAACACACCTGCCTGGAAGTCTCAAGTATACCTAGAAAGAGCTTGATTAGCTGGTTCAGGTGTGTCTTATTGGGGTTGGAACTAAACTTTGCAGGACACTGGCCCTCCAGAACTTAGTTTGGGCAACCCTGGTTTAGATGAACCACATGAGGGAGAGCACTCGGATTCGGATTGACTATCACTTAAGTAAAGCAAAACAATGTGTGGACTCTTCTGCCCTCTGCTGTTAAGATTGAAAAGTGTAGTCTATAGGCCACAAACTTCATACCGATATTCAAAAATTCAGTATTTCATGATTAATGAAGGGCGACGCAGTGGCGCAGTAGGTAGAGCTGTTGCCTTAGAGCAAGAAGGTCGCTGGTTTGAGCCTCGGTTGGGTCAGTTGGCATTTCTGTGTGGAATTTGCATGTTCTCCCTGCATTCGCGTGGGTTTCCCCCGGGTGCTCCGGTCTCCCCCACAGTCCAAAAACATGTGATACAGGTGAATTGGGTAAGCTAAATTGTCCATAGTGTATGAGTGTGAATGAGTGTGTATGGTGTGTTTCCCAGAGATGGGTTGCAGCTGGAAGGGCATCCGCTGCGTGAAACAAATGCTTGATAAATTGGCGATTCATTCCACTGTAGCGACCCCAGAAAGGTACTAAGCCGAAAGGAAAATGAATGAATGATTAATAAAGATACAGAATATTGATATTAAAATTACTGTGAATTTACTTATGCACTCTAAAATTTTGAATAATAATAAATAATTATTCGCACATTTTAAGTACCCAGTATTTTTTAAGGATATTCACCCTGTAGTTGCAGTGGTGTACATAATAGTGCCAAATGCTTGGAGACTTAATTAGTTAGCTTAATAATTCAAACATGAACACTTCCAGGTGTTAATCTGACCTACTACATGATGAAATATTACTTGAAAAAAAATATATATTGGGTTTTATACTTTAACTCTGTGCAATCATGCTTCAATAACAGTTAATTTACCTAAACTAATGATGAAAACAACAAATGGTTTTATTAATCTTAGGTGATGTTAATTTCTTAGATAATGCTTGACTTGTTAAAAAGTCGTAATCTAATTACAAATTTAAAATAATTTTATTAAATGCAGTTACACTAATAACACACCAAGTATATTTGCAAATATACCTGTTAAAGTAACTTTTTTCATCTTATTGTAATAATAACGTAAATCGTGATAAAAAGCTTCAGCACTTAATCGCTACAAGAAATTTAGATTTCGTCATGAGCCTAATCTATAGGCTATTATGTTTACTGATATTTATTTAAAGTTTAAATAAATTACGAGTTTGAGCTTGCGAAAAGGGTACTGCACTGCGAAAAGGGGCGGGGTTAAATAAGATGATCCATATTTTAAATTTCTGTCCAGAGAGGTCATGATTTGGTCTTTGATTGATCTCACGCAATCATGTGATGCGATTTCGCATCTCAGAGTTCACCAAGCTTGAACTTTCCAACGCAGCTAACTGTAAAACTTGTCGCACAACTTGCGTTTCCGGTCTGACACATTCGCGTGCGTATGGATGGAAGTCTATAGGGAGATATGTCCAGTGTGTTCGCAGCTTTATTCTGAATAACTTTAGATATTTTTTATATGTTTTTTTTTTTTTCAGGGTATCCAGGGTTCCAGGCAACAACATATGCCGGCCGCAGTTACACTAGTCTCACACCAGGATACACATATCAGTTCCCCGGTAAGATTGAGTATCTGCATCAGTCTGTATTACTGTATCAGTGTATCTCTATAACACCTTTTCACACATTATTTTATGTGTTCATTAACTCTTTCTTTTGCAGATACTTAAGCGTATGATCAAAAGTCAGTTTTTAAAACTAGGAGATTGTTATAATTGCAAATAATACACAATGGAGCATATATGTTGTGGATTGTCAAATCCAAGCCAGCATTAAGCAACATAACTAAAGCGATGTCTAAATATATCTACAGTATATCCACAAAAAGGAATTTAAAGTTAAAATTTAAAGTGATTTTCCAGCATCAAAAACAATAAAAGCATTACATAATTATGAATAACAAAATAATTATGGTTATACATTTGATTGACAGAAGGCAGACACTGAAATGGCTAAATAAATAAACAAATCTTCTTATTCTCAATAATTATTTTTAACAACTCTAAAATACTGATTCACTGTCATTTTAAATGTTTATTTTTTCCACTATACTGTAAATTGCCAGGCTTGACAGTTTTTTCATTTAATTTTATTGTAGACACTTTACAAACATTTATACTTCCTACTGTATGCATAGAAAATCACTATTGTAACTTCAAAATTGTGTTTATGCTGGCTGCATTTATTTAATGAAAAAGCATTATTATGGCTATTATTATTGTCAAAAGATCTTTAAGAAACCGTTGTGATTTAACAGTTTTATGCTCTGATTATTATTACAACATTGAAAAAAGTTGTGCTGCTGCATATTTTTGTGAAAACTGATTTTTTAGAGATTCTTTAATTAACAGGAAATCAAATATTTTTTCAGATTGCCATTACTGTCACTTCTGATTAATTTAATGAAACCTTGTTAAATAAAAGTATGAATATCTCCAAAACAAACTGATAACAATAAAATATATTGTCAAACTTGTCAACTTTGCATCTGTATTTAAATCAGTCATTTAGACAAGAGACTCTGGGCTGCTTGTAAACCTCAGATGGACTTTTGTTTTTTCTACGTGCACTTGAACCCTAGTCTTTGCTTAGTATTGCTGTTGTAGGCCCTATAGTGCGTGTCTGTGTCTGTGTGTAGTGTGAACAGCACTTGTGTGTTTGTTTAAACCGCTTTCTGTGTTTGTCTTTATTCTAGAATTCCACTTAGAGAGGACCCCCCTTCTGACATCACCCCACCCCCCTGAACTCACAGGTCAGTTTCTCCATGAGCTTTACAAGCAGCTACTCAACAGGACACATGTGCTAACTGTTACAGCACACTGCAAATACTAGTTCACATTACTGACAACAGCAAAAAAAGTTATATGTTGTTAAATGAACTTTTGATTTCATATGGGGTTGAAGTAGCATGGTTTGACTAGTGGGGGCGATTTAGTGGTAGATTGTAAATGCAGTCCAGTAAACATGATGGTGTGTCTGAGAACGGCTGTATCTGAAATCGCATACTTCCTTGGTATATAGTGTTAAAGCAGTATATGAAAATAGAAGTATGCCAGAATTCAGTGTAAAGGAGTAAAGAAAAGTACATGGATGCATTCAATAGACAATACTATCCCACAAGGCCAAATGAAAGGATTTAGATGTGTTTTCTATATACAGGGTTAATACACATTTTTACTACAAAAAATCCATGACTTTTCTAGGTCTTTCAAGTCAATTTTTATGACCTAATGTTTCATGTAATGTCTACGTACACGTGGTAAATTATAAGAAAAACAATGAATGTTTTAATTTATTACAGCATCTCATAAAACATGCAACAATCTCTTTAGTTTCAATTTATTTTTTAATATCTATGTAAGATAGATGATTCTTACACAGTGCTAATATGTGAGACCATGTTTTTGGCCAAGAAAAGAAGTAAAAACAACTAACCTACATTCCAGTATACAGATATTTGACAAACTAATTTTAGATAATGTTTTGTTAAACTAGCAATAATAGGTAAAACATTGCTCTTTTTGCTCCATAGACTTACATTTGAAAGTTCGAAATTGGTGAATTCTTACCTGCGAAATTACATCCTGCACTCAAAAAAAATTTTTTTTTACTCATTCAAACTACTTATTTCAAATGAGCTTTTTTTTGTTCAATCCACATAAATTTGTCAAAAGTGTTAAGTTAACTTAGTCAATTTGTGTTGGGACAACATGAATGAATTTTGTGGAACCCTCTATTTTTTACAGTAAGTGATTGTGTTAGACCAGTAGAAGATCATTTAAAATAACAAATGTAAAATATGGAGCAATCTTTCATGTTTATAAACGTCTAATCATATTGTTTAATACCACCCTTTTTCACAGCACCATATGACAGAATTTCGCAAGCACAAGCTCTAGTGTGACCGCATCCAAGTTGCTTTGGATGCTTTGGTCTGCTAAATGACTTATGTAATTTCCTTGACTTTTCCAAAACCTTGTGGCTTTTTCAGTTTTTCCAAATGCCATGACTTTTCCAGGTTTTCCATGACTGTTTGAACCCTGTATATACCAGTAGTTATTCTTTAGGTCAGTGGGATTCCTTAGGTCAGTGGGCTCATGGAGGACCACCAACTCTGCACATTTTCCCTGTCTCCTTAACCAAACACACCTGATTCAGATCATTAACTCATTAGCAGAGACTAAGAGACCTGTAATGGCTCTGACAAAGGAGACATCCAATACATGCAGTGCTGGTGGTCTTCCAGGAACATGGTTGAGACACACTGATCAAGGTTCTAGAATTGTTTTTTACATCGACAGTTTCCATTCATTATGAAGAGGCAAATAATCATGAGAAGTGTTAGAAATACAATGTTTTAGTCATTGCTAGAAAAACTAAAAAGACTGGATAGGAAGGTGATATGAAAATGGCTAACTTTTTTCTTTTTATTAGGCAAATTTTCAATATGCAATTTCAATATGGATAGTTTGAAGGGAGAACAGAAACAGTTACAGGCACAGTCTCAGCAGCATCTACAATTTCTAAAATATCTAACTTGTATGCACTGCTTCAAATCAAAAGCTGGTCTGTTCTCAAACACACATTTTATGAATTAAAGTGAAAGTATGAATGCGATGTGAAGAATGAAAGTAGGGTTACATAACAGTAACAACATAGTACAGTAAATGTAATAAATCAAAATTCAACTCAAATTGCATGCATTCATAAGTGGCACAATATACTTTTAGCATTCATTAATTAATTACTTATTGTTTATAAGTAATAACTTATTATAAGCACCCACACACTTAATTGAGCATATTTTAAAGAGTGAATTGAGTTGCATTATTTCTATTATTCAGCTGCAATAGTAATGTATATTTACAAAAGGTGAAAAGATTTCATTGTTTTATTTATTACTTTGAACTTTTATAACTCACGTTTAAGTTTACAGATTAAAGGATTAGTTAACCCAAAAATTAAAATGATGTTTTTTAAATACTCACCGTTGTATGGTTTCAATCCCCTGAGACCTTCGTTCATCTTCGGAACACAGATAATTGTATTTGAATTCAATCAATTACAAGCAAAAAATACATAAATAAATGGTGCTGCATGGTTTTCTGTGGACTCTAGCAGTATTTAAGTCCATCAATTGAATAATCAAATGTAAAATAACATGGTCATTATTTTATAAATAATAAAAAAAACATATATTTAATAATATCTTTATCTTTAATAAAAAAAATCTAATTCAGTGATATGGTTATTGCAGATACACACATTGCGATTTCGATGCTCAAATTATATTTTGTTCAGCCCTATAGGTCACATCAAGCCAAGTTGCCCATCCTATGAATAATGTGACATAATGGCATTAGAGTTAGCAGTGCTACACACAAACATTGTATTTCCCGTATTAAACACACACCCTGACCTAACGCAGGGGGAAATTGTCAAACTAAGCACTTTTTTGTTTAATTTAGCACACAAAATTACAAATGGAGCTTGATATGATTACATTTGAACCACTAAAGTCACATGGAATGTTTTTGGTTTCTTTTCTGTACTTTGAACAACTTTGGACTCTAGCTATCTATAATAAGAGAGCTCATCTTAAATTTCCTAATTTGTGTTCTGAAGATGAATAAAGATCAAAATGAACCATGAGGGTGAGTAATTAACTACAGAGTTTGAAAAATCATTGGTTATCAAGTCTGCTGTTTGTTGCAGCCTTTTAACACACATGTTGGTTTGTGAGGTGTAAGATTATAACTTAACATCGCCGCCCAGGAAATCCTGCATTGCTGTTTCACCACACATTATCAAGCCATCGTTTGATGCTGTGTGACCCAAGCGCTTTTCTCCCATTGCTCTGAACCCAGCGTTTGTTGATACTGATTGCTTTCTCTTTCCTGTTGGTTTGCTGGTTCTGCACGGATGTTTTTCTAGCCATTCCACTAACGGCTTACAACCCCATGGCGGCAGCCGCAGCAGCAGCAGCTGTGGTCAGAGGTACGACAGATTTCAGTTCTTATGCATCCTACACAAGACCCAGACTCAGGAAACGAGCGTTCACACTTGTGCTGGCCTATATAATGTAGATGCTCTGTGACTGAGATGTTGTGGGATTTCATGTTGATTCATTTGTAGGCTCAACTCCTTCTCGCTCAGCGGGGTTTTTAGGTACCAGCAGCCCTGGGCCGATGGCAGATCTATATGGGACGGCCAATCAGGAATCGGCTGTGAGCAGCTACCTCAGTGCCGCGAGTCCTGCTCCCAGTACTGGATTCAGCCACAGCCTCGGGGTGAGTCAATCACATACAGCACTGTTAGTGTCAACTACCACAATTACAAATCATTTTCAGTCTCTGAAATCAGACAATTGATGAAAACCAGCCTACATGTAAACAACTGTCAATTGAAAACTCTGAATGTTACCTTGACAGCTTATTGAAACACAATAATTACTGAAATCAAACTATAAAACTTCTAATATCATGATTTGTTACTTATTCAGTTATTTTATAAAGTATGCAATTGTTTACAATATAATAAAATATTATATTAAAAAAAGTATATAACCTATATTAAACACAAATTAATGTTTGCATGGCATATTTATACATTTTTAATATGTATTTTTACATTCTTTTAGTAAATCGTTAAAAAATGGGTTTAAATATTTTTTTTTACTTTTTTCAATGTCTTGAACTATAAAAATTGACATTTGAATGTAATTATTTACTTTAATGTGGCACATTGCGTTTTACAACTTGAATGAACTTTGTCATTTCAAAAAGATCAACTATATATTTTTCCAAGAAACAATAATAATATTTATTATTTTATACAATTTTGGATTTATAATCATTATATAAATTAGGGCTGGGCCGATAAACAGTATTATGTCAAATTGTGATAAAATGTATGTCAATAACAGTAATAACCTCTGGAACTTTTATTCTATATTGATCTGAGAGCCATTCACACAGCAGATATGTGCAATAAAGGAAATCTAAAAGTGTGTTGATATTAGAGATGTACCGAATTTTCAGCCACCAAAAATTTATCGGCCAAAAATATTCTATGCCATTTAATAGACCTTCTAATTTTTGTGGCTGCAGTCATTGTTGGGATTACTCTTTTAAATCTGGAAACAATAACAACTATATCCAAATATTAATACGTTATCGTTCAATATGGAAAACAATTATCTAGATTGCAAGTAGCTGTATATTGGCACTGGTGGGAGGCATGCGGCCGGGTGCTTTAGTGTCCCACCAGTGACAATATAAAGCCATATCGCACTGCAACGTGTGTTATATTGTGTTTATACAACAGTTTGGTGGCATAATCGTATATATTTAAAATAAAATCAAACACGAAGAGTCTAAAAAAATCCTTTTGTATAAGGGACTACTTTCTTCCGCAATTCATTCACATCTGCAGTAGCCTCGTTAGAAACAAACACAAGTGGCCAACACAAAATACATACATTTCTGATATGTGAGTCCCATCTGAGACACAATCCGCTACAATTACTATGGGATAAATTTAACACTAAAACATACAAAAAAATAATAAGATTCACTTAGAATGTCACCCACCAATTTTATAATGTTTTGTTAAGCTGTAGTTTAAAATTGCACAGATATTTTCGCCTCTAAGGGCTTATCATGTGGTCTCTGTAGATAGACAATGTCTACCATCTTTACTCTGCTCAATGACAGGCTGATGGAGGCCTCAGAAATCTCAGAAATTATAAATATTCAAAATAGGCACTATCTTTAGAAATAAACAGCATTGTTTCAATCTAAACAACTACATTTAAAAAAGCCTCAAAAGTACATTGTTGTCCAGCAGCTGCAATATTTGTCAAACATTAGTGAATTTATTAATCTGCTGTCACTCTATCTCACGGCTATCAGCCAATCAAATTCGAGAACCTGACAGAACAGTTGTATGTGTATATATGCACAGATACTTTTATATACATTTTTACAATTATTTATTATTTTTAATTATTAATATTTATTAATTTATTATCACATATATTAATTTAAAAAAAGTTAATTTTTATTTTATAAAATAAACTTATTTTAACTTTCTGTAAAACAATATTAGTTATAAATTATTAATTATAAAAATTGTTTTAAGTGTTTGTATTCATAATATTTAAAAACTATTTATTTACTTTTACAATTAGTCACAAAACTGGTCAAATTAATCTTAAATCAAGTAAATGAAGCATGTTTTCCCCTGTGGTTTCCTTTTCACTTCATTAGAGCCTGTTTTCTTTATCCATGTACAGGGTCCTCTGATTGCTACAGCATTTACTAATGGCTACCATTGAAACAAGTGACAGGTACAGCAGTATAGTATCAATCGCCCGGACGTCTTCCCCACATCTGAAGGAAAGATTGATGAAGAATGATTTGAAGTAAAATGGTGATCTCAATCGAATACAATGGATGCACTCAATGTGCTGCAGGGTTTTATTGTTATTTTATCAAGCTCTCAGTCTTTAAAGAGACAAATCAGCCCTAAACTGACGAAACAATGGCTGCAACACTATTAATATGACATGACGTTTATTATTTTTGGAATTACTGTCATATCAGTCTTTAAACTAACCTCTTGCTCCACTAAACTAGAGCTAAACCTGTAAATAACTAGTTTGTCTCTCAGTTTAAAACACTAACAAGTGTATTTTTTGTCTTAGTTTTATTTTATCTCTTATTTCTTGTCTTGTTGATGACTTTATGTATATGTAGGTTTGTAGTTTAAAATTTTCGGTTTAATATTTTCATAAGAGCAATAATCTGTGTCAAATCTCTTTGTAGCAGATTTGAAAAAAAAACTAAAATCACTTTCAGATGCGTTTGGTACATTTTCTACTGAAGGATATAGTGTGTCAAAATGTATATTTTGTTAGTTTCGCAACTGGATTTATTACACAGATCATGGAAATAGTAGTAATTATAAGGAGAACATATTTCTCAGACTTAGATTTGACTTTGATTGTGTAAAATATTGTAAATAATGTCTTTTGGATCTTATGAGGTCTGTCGGCGTGATAAGAGAGTTTTTTACACTCAAAAACGCAAGCGCATGATATTCTTTGTCCAAAAATTTGCTTTTGTTGGTTTTTTTTTTCATCTTTTTGTTTTCTGAATTTGATGAACTTGAACTTTGTGTTTTATTTTGTTCAGGTTTTTTTTTTTTTTTTGTGACAGAAAACAATGTGAATGATGCTTCTAGTGTGTGTGTGGGTGTGGGAGTGTGTGTACGTGTGCATGTGTTACTGTCATGATTTAATGTATTATCTTCAGTAAGATGATTTGAAATGTGAATTGAAGCCCCTTTATGTCCATGCGGTTGCATTGCTTTTACCAAGTGTTTATCCATAACACAGTTCAATTAATCTATTTTAGAGGTTCTTATAACAATTGGAATATGAATATACTTCAATTAACTGAAGATCTGGTACTGGTAAAATAATAATAATAGCAACACTAATATAACACTTTTTATGAAGTAAACTGGATGGCTGTTATTATTGGAAAGTTTTCATGTTTCTTGTTTGAAGCTGGACCCTCTCTGAAAAAAAAATGAAATAAAAAATACATTTGGAAATACAGAGTCAATTATTTCACATGTAAATAAACTGCAAATTACTATGCTGTGACACTGCTGTTATTGGGCAATAATTGGTATACTGCAGCCTGATCTCACAAGAAAACCTAAGTATTTTACGTTTTGCCAGTTTAGTGGCTAATTCATACGAATTCGTACTAGTTCAGTCGTACAAAATTGTACGATTTTTAAAAAGGAGGCATGGCACCTGACCCCACCCCTAAACCCAACCATCATTGGGGGATGAGCAAATCGTACTAAATTGCACAAATAAAGTCGTACGAATTCGAAGTCGTACGAAGTTTAGAATTGCCTTGAGATTGTGTTGCATATTGAGATATGGAACTGGAATATTTATATATATATATATATATTTAATAATTTGACCAACATTTCTTTACTTTTACCTAGATTATATCCATACATGCAACGCAGTGACGCAGTAGGTAGTGCTGAACAAAGAAACAAAAAATATTTTTGTTTTAGTTGACATATTGTAGTTTGTGATTATTTTTACAATATTTCACGTGAATTTAAATGTTATTTTTGAGCAATTCCATGCAAATGTCAACCTTGCCATAAAAAATAAGTTTTTACCAAAATAGCGAAACCCTTTCTATGTTTTTTGTGTAAGCTTGTATTTTACTGTATTGTAAAAATACTCAAAAATGTCTGTCAATGTTCTTAAACAATTATGTTTGATTTACCAAAGTTACACGTGGCAATTTCACATCTCACATCCATAACGGAGAAACGTCACATCCATAACCAAGATTTTTTTCCTCATAAATACAAAATGTCAAATAAAATAAAATCAGTAACTTTGTTCTATCGAGAGACAACTCTTATCCTTTTGATTAGCATTGTTTCTTTTGGGTTGTGCTGTTTAATTCACAGAATTTCTACAAAGTAGTTTGTGTACTGTAAACTTAATAACTTTTTTGGTCACATCCGCAACATTTGCTTATTTTCCTCATTTAAAGTATAAAACAGTAAATACATTTTTTACGTGATATTTTTCAAGACACTCTATACAGGTTAGAGTAATTAATTGTATATTGTATAACGATGGTTTTTCTGTAGAACATCGAAAAAAATATATATATACAGCTTAAAAGGGGTAATAATTTTGTCCTTAAAATGTTTTATTATTATTATTATTATTATTAAAAACTGTGTTCATTCTAGCCAAAATAAAACAAATAAGACTTTCTCCAGAAGAAAAATATATATATTATCAGACATACTGTGAAAATGTCCGTGCTCTGTTAAACATCATTTGGGAAATATTTGAAAAAAGTTTTTTTTATTTATTTATTTTTTTTACTGAGGGCTTAATATTTCTGATTTCAACTGTGAACATTCCGGAAACCGGAGCACCCAGAGGAAACCCACGCGAAGGCAGGGAGAACATGCAAACTCTACACAGAAAAACCAACTGAGCCGAGGTTCAAACCAGCAACCCAGCGACCTTCTTGCTGTGAGGTGACAGCACTACCTACTGCGCCACTGCCTCGCCATCAAAATAAAAACTGCTTTTATTCTAGCCAAAATGAAACAAATAAGACTTTCTTCAGAAGATAAAATATTATCAGACATACTGTAAAAATTTCCTTGTTCCATTAAACATCATTTGGGAAGTATAAAAAAAAAAGAAAAGAAAACAAAATTCATAGGGGGGCTAAAAATTATGACTTCAACTGTATATATATATATATATATATATATATATATATATATGATTGAATTCGAATGTCATTGTTGTCCCCTAAGGGCAGCTATGTTTACAGCAAAAGCTGACAGTTAACAGCAACAGGTCACACTCAACAAGAAATACACAAACACACACACAGACACATTATATGAACACCCCTCACAAATCTTTCATTTAAATGGAAGCTTGACAATATAGAGCATATACATTAGATTAGTTTGTACTGAAGCCAAATCTGGAGCTTGTCTAACAAAATAACTTGTAACGGTCTAAAAGCAGTACATCCAAATTTATATGTTAATTAGATTTAAATATAGAATAGATTTTTGGATTGTTTGTTTTTTATTTATTTAAGGTTCAAAGTCTTATATCATTTGAATGAATAGATTCTGAATAAATACTTATATAGCCATTTTATGAAATAAAATTATTGTTTAACTGAATCTTGCACCTTTCTAAAATAAAAGAGTCAACGGTACATTTGGAACTCCCACATGAGATCGACGGCATATTTCCATATCTAAAATATTATATTTCTACAGTTAAGAACTCCCTCGTGGTTTAAAAGTACACATTTCCATGCTGTAGCAGCACGTTTGCCTAATTTATTTCCACTTCACAATGACCTTTGCCTTTATAACAGATTTAAAGATTCTGGTGTGGATAAAAAAACCCTATAAGAACTAACAACACTTTTAATGAATTAAAATAATGAGTCTTAATAACTGAAATCTTGTATGTCTCTTGTTTGAAAAAAAAAATATCATCATTTAAAAATATAAATTATTGAAAATTTCAGAACACCTACATGACCTGAAAACAGCAGGCATGACTCACTTGACACCAGAGGTTGCGTGTTAATTTTGTTAGTCGTTTTTATGCTGGTGGTTACACAGCAATTCAAATCACCCACGGTCTTTCACTGATTCTCTCTGCTCGACACCTCTGCACCAAAATCTCTGTTCACGGGACATTTGTAAAAATCCTCTAAATGAAACTAACTATTCTGCTCAGGATGAAACAGCATTTATCTTGTCATTCTAGTGCATCGTATGACTACATCATTTACCGTTAAGTTGCTTTGTAAGGTTACGTAGGTGGTAGCACGATAAACATCTTTTCTTTCATAAACATCTTCTTTTGTGTTCATTAATAGCACATTTCTTGTCATCCTGCGACATGTATTACAACAAAGTCCTTTAATATCCTATCGGCTGATAATATTAGAATTAGTTAAACAATTTTCAATCGGCTTTTCACAAAAAAATAAAATAAAAAAATCTTTAAAATTGTTAATTCATACGCTCTGAAAAATGTTGGGTTGTCATAACCCAACATCGAGTCAAATATGGATAAACAGCTTTTTTTATTATTATTAAATTAAATTTAATGGACGCTTTTTAACCCTGTGGTTGGTTTTGTCAATATCTGACAATATCTGTTGTGGTAAACAACCCTTGTATGAAATAAATGTATTGCAGTGCACCTAAGGAATAGACCTTAGGCTAAAAAGACAATTTTTTTCATGTACCTGCTTTCATATAAATTTTCAGTCTATAAAAAATGTCCAAAACACATTTTTAAGTTTCTTTTTTTACACTTTAAACATTTTGTTTCTGTAGATTTCATGCACATTTTTAAGGGTTTTTTTTAACCTGACTTCATCCAGTGTGCAAATATGCAAATTTGTGCATATTTTAATAAATAATGCCTCAACTGAATATTTAAATTTCACATATTAGGAAACTTGTATTAAAATAAAATGTCTTTTTTTTCTTTTTTTTTTTTGCCTTAAGCAGGCTAAAAAAGATAAAAGTGCTGACAAATAAACCGTCTTGCAAAGCATCATTTTGTTCATCTATGAAGTTACAAATCAGTCATGTTAAATAAAATACAAAATGAATAAATATATGCTAAAGCAGGGCTGAAGACCTGGAATCCAAATTGATCACTCAAAAAAAAAAAAGTTTATCTTAGAGAATTTTTTTTAATCTAACATATTTACATCAATTGGTTAAAACAGATTCAAATGTGGTTGCACATAATATTTATGTAACACATAATAACAGTATTTACAAAAATACATTCACAAAACTATTGCACAGGATCTCAGGAACACACCGTCCCACACGCAGGATGAAAATGCGTGATATAAATAAAATTCTATCAAAAGATGCTCATCATTCATCCTTCTGTCTTTTTTTGATGTGGACCTCAGAGTATGTCACCGTAATCTCTGTGCAGCTCTCTGAAGTAAGAGCTGCAGCAGCACAGTTCTGAAATACATAATAAGTCTTTAGTCATAATAACTTGCAATTAGCATTTAATCAGATGCAGTTATGATGTCAAGTGCAAAAAAAAAGTAAATACAAATCTGCTCATTTACTTATGAAACTATTAACATATAGCAACTAAACAGTTAATTTATCCTTACAAAATGATATGTTTAGTTAGGTGTACTAACAATATACTTGTTTTAAATAGGTATAATAATACTAACAATTTAGGTATAGTATACCTCTAGCTGTAAATATACTACCAGAAGAGTATACTTAGTCTGTATTCATACTCAACACTTTGATCGAGATAAAAAGTACAAGTAAACATTGTAAGTATAGTTTGTTTATAGTTGTTTAGCCTTTTGGTTGAGTAGCCTATTAAATATTTATTTTCTCAGTTTTACATTTTCAAGTTTATAACAAGTTTTGCTGTGGAATGAACTAGAGCAGGGGTGCCCAAACTTTTTCCTATAAAGGGCCAAAAACCAAAGCTGACTGAGGGCTGTGGACCCAATATATACCAAATTGTAAACATTAAATTTGCCATAGGTAATTTTGAACTTTATTAAATTATATTTAAAAATAACTAGAAAACTAATGCTTTAAATCATATTAACTGATGCATGAACTAATAATTAACAACACATGTACAGCATTGATTAATCATAATTGAACATTTACTACTGCATTATTAACATCCAAGTCCATGCTTGTTAACATTAGTTAATGCACCATGAGTTAACATGAACTAACAATGAACTACTGTATTTTCATTAACTAACGTTAACTAACATGAACAAATACAGAAGTAAATGTATTGTTCATTGTTTGTTCATGTTAGTAAAATGCATTAATTAACATTAAATAATGAACCTTATTGTAAAGTGTGACCGCAAGTTTGTTTATATTGTACATTTCTTACACAGTGGTAATGTAAAGTGCTTTTACAACAATTACAACATTTAATTGAATCATTTAATTTCAGTGGAATTTTTTGTAGCTCAACAATAAAACAAAGAAACAAAAAGTTACGTTAAATTTGAAAAGACTATCTCTGTTAAAGGCAGCCCCAGAAATTAGATTCAAAGCCTCTCCATCATTCTCTCTGTCTTTTCAGATGGGATGGCGGGCCAAATTTAAGGTAACCCTGAATGAACTTTGGCCCACGGACCCTACATTGGGCATTTCTATTAATATAACCTAATCATCTTTGGTTTACTTTAAATCGAGTACAGTTATAGGTTTTTTTCTCATACAAAATTATTACCAAATAAGAGTAAAGCTGTATATTTTAGGGACAATATATTTCTTTCAAAGAAAAAACTGTAGTGTTTTTTCATACGCTAACAACAACACAAGTCAAGTTGCTGTATTAAAAAAATAATAGTTTCTTTTACGCTTACTACTCTTCCACTTAAAATACACTTTATTTTTTAATTTACATTTACAAACTAAAAAGCAGAACAATGTAGTTCCAAATACAAATGAAATAGCTCAAATATACAGTACAAGAATACTGCTAATACATTGAAATTGGTATACCTAATACATCACATACATTTCAAAATATACTCGAGCTTAAGATACTTAAAAAAAAAAAGGGCTAGTACATGAATACTGCTTATTACCAAAGCCAGTAATGAGCGCTATTTACCTCATTTCTTGACTTCACACTGTCTTGAGGAATGTTTAATGCTGTGTAAATGACTCTTTCAGTAGTGTCAGAGCCAGGTGATTCACTGTTAGCAGCAACCTGAGAGCAAAACAGTATATTATTTGAAAGCTATTTACTGTATGTATGTATGCTTTTTAGATCATCATCTCAGCTAATATTAATTAAACTAATAGTTCATTCAAAAATGACAACTTTCTCATAATTTACTCAAAGTCAAGTGGTTCACTCAATTGTATTTCTTCTGTTGAATACAAAACAAGATATTCTGAAGACTGTTGAAAAACTCCCATTAACATCCATAGTAGGAGCAAACAATTTTATGGAAGTCAAAGGATTTTTTCCCCATCATTCTTCAGGATATTTTTCTTTTGTGCATCTTTTCAGGTTTAGAACAAGTAAATAATGACAATTTTTAAATTTTAGGCAAACTATGCTCACTATTCCATGCTTTGTTCCAGGTTCCATTTTGCTGTGTCCTGGTTAAAAAGAAAAAAAGTATTCAGCCAATTAAACCTTTAAAATCATTTGTTTGTTTTTTATACTAGTCTTGTAAACCTTAATCAAATTGTGATATTTCGCAGTTGTTGTTTTTTCACACCTTTAAAACTTATATGAATTCCACAGGCAATGCAGATGATCAGAACAACCAAACCCAAGCCTGAAAACAGTGACCACATCACTGTGTTACTGTGCAGGTTTCCTGAATCTTCCACAGTCACCTGTGCAGACTCTGCAAGTGCAATTATGAAAATTAAAAGCTATTATGAGTATTAAAAGGCATCTCACACATAAAAAGCTATTTCTTTTATAAGAAAATTTAGGAAGGTATTTTAGTCACTGTTAAAGGTAGAAAACATTCAGACATTTAAAAAATATACCTTCAGTCATAGAGGTGTAAAAAGATCAAGAGTGATTTTTTTTAATTTTAGGATGATTCCTTAAAACACAATGAAATAAGCACTATAGCTAACCAAATAAATAAATAAAGCTTACCCACAAATACATGAGTCCCTTTGCCATATTCAACAGGTCCAAGTTCAGGTAAATCAAGCTGTGCTGAGCAGTAATACACAAAACTATGATTTGAATGTACTGACAGAAGGTCCAACGTTGAGTTAATAAACACAAATCCATTAACAGACAGACGATTGGGAGATGTAATCCCTTCACTCCTAACTTCTGTTTGATTGTCTTGCCACCATTTAACCAGGATTCTATCCACACGAGAATCTGCATTAATGTGACAGGTGATGCTGACATTTGTGCCTTCTTTTGCTGTTATGTTAGGCGTTTGCCACACAGATATGGGTAGATGAAATGAAAACGCATCTCTAGAAAAGAGTCCTGTGAAAAAAAGTAGACAGAACTTAATTCATTTAGTTTCATCCTGTTGCTGAAATCATTTCAACAAACATTTTATCAGTGAAGAAAAATGATATTACCTGTGAAGCAGATGGTTAGGATGAGAGCAGAGAGTCTTGAGCGTGTCATTTTATGAGAACTGCAGAGACAGCGGTTTTCTCACGTTATGCAGAGGCAGGTGTTATTCATTTTTCCTGTGTGGTGTATCCTGCCGTTTGAAACACATGTAGCAGCTCCTTATCTGCATAAAGTCAGACGCTAGTGACACCCACAGACAGGCCACTTCAGCGCACTACAACTTTCACTCATTTTTGTCAAAGCAATTATTGGTTTAGCAAATCTTTTCAAAATAAAACATTGAAAAAATGGTAACAGTTTACAATAAGAGAACATGAATAATGATGTATTAATAAGTAAACTAAACATTACTTTATTATGAATTTACGATGAGTTAGGTCGTGCGCTATTCATGAACTACCACAACATGAGTCACGAGAGTTCATGTGTCAAATAAGGGCTACCTGAATTAGTTGTTAGTACATGTTGTCAAAGATTGTATTAATTAACATTTGAGTTCAACGATCATGAACACATAAGCAGTTAATGTACTTGGAGGGGCACATCACCATTAACTCATCCTTAACTACACTGTAAAAAAACCTTATTTTACAGAAAATATCCCTAAATTTTTTTAAGTAATTTTTTGTCATTTAAAATTATATATAGAACTTAGTAAAATGACAAACAATCTCTCTAAATTCACAGTTTGACTTTCATTTTAGGTACTTTATCATTAAAGACAAATTACTGACATTTTTGTTTTTTATACAGGGAAATTACAGTATTATTTATACAGTATTTTTTATGATATTTTAAATTATATTCAAAAATGCGTAAAATTTACAAACAATTTCTGTAAATTAACAGCTTGACTGTTATTTTATGTACTGTATAAGTAATGACAAATTACAGCAATTTGTCCGTTTTATACAATAAAATTGCCGTATTATTTACAGAGTGTTTTTTCCTGTTTTTTATGAAGTACATTTAAAATTAAGTAAAATTAAAGTAATAAATTGTAATTACTTGCTCTGTAAAAAAAAAAAATAATAAATCGTAAAAACAAATGTCAAATGACTGGCAGCTACGGCTGCCAAACAAAAACCATAAAATTATGGTAAAATTTCTTTGTTGAAATAAAGTGCAAAAAATAATAAATCTACAGATATTTTCATTAAAATGTTTACAGAAAACACTGTTGTTTTACAGACTTTTCCTAGATTGTTACAGTCAAATCCGTTCAATAAAGTTACACACTAAGTGCGCTCACATGCACCTGTTCTGGATTCCGCTGATTGCACACACACAGTCGGAGGATCGTTATGAACTGATTACATACACTTTAAAAGCAGCATAGACCAATTTCTTAGTCTTGTTATACTTTTACTGTGAACATTATGACGCGTTTCTCTACTTTTAACTTGCTTTGTTTGTTAATTGTTTAAGTTGTGTGCTGTCGGGACTGACTATTTGCCTGTTATTTGACCATGACTCTGGATTCCCTGTATAATGTTACATCTGTTTGCCCCTGTGTTGACTGTTGTTTGCCTGACCATCTCTGTGTAATAAACCTGCATTTGGATCTGCACTCATTTGTCAACATCCCCTTCACGTTACAGTTCCATTTTATTTAAGATCTGTAACTGAATCATTCCATATAACTTAAACCTCTACATGTTTTACATAAACACTATTCAATAAAATGTAACAACTGTAATTTTAAAGTTGTGAGAATTTTAATCAGTTGTATCTTGTTTGTTGTTTTCTCCAAATTTTTTTGATCCAAAATAAAACTGTTAAATTACAATCATGAGCATGTCTTGGCATTTTATTAAAGGTGTCTAATCGTAATGATTTAGGGAAAATTCTTTTAAATAACATTGTTTTCTCTTGAACTTTTAGTGCAGTCACTTTATTGATGGTGTTTGATCAGAATAATCTAAGAAAAGTCTGTATAATAACAGTGTTTCTTTGTAAAACTCTTAGTGTGTAACTTTATTGAACAGATTTGTCCGTAATAATCTAGGAAAAGTCTGTAAAATAGCAGTGTTTTTCTGTAAACATTTTGATGAAAATATCTGTAGATTTATTATTTTTTGCACTTTATTTCAACAAAGACATTTTACCTTAATTTTATAGTTTTTGTTTGGCAGCCGTAGCTGCCAGTCATTTGACCTTTTTTTTAAAGATTTTTTTTCTTACAGTGTACTCATGAACTCCTGTGTTTAAAGTGTTCATGTTGATGTTGACCAAACACTTCTTGTTAACACTTTAGTTCACAATTCACAGTATTTACAAACCATTAACTAACACTATTAGCTTAATAAACTACTAATTAGCCCTTTTATTAAAAGGCCATGAAACCCCTCACTTTCGGTTCAAGTCTACCTCAGACCTTTTTCAAAAAGTGCATCATGATGGCCGGGGAGGAGTGGGCGAGGCCAGCACAGCAGGGCAGAAAGAGGGGAGTGAACTGTTGTCAGTTGGCTCACAAAATGAGACATAAACCATGAGGAGACCCATGATTTACAAAGTGAAACTGCAAAGAAATAAAGTATGAAATTTAATGCCCTGCTACATATGTTATTCGTAATTTCATATACACAACCACAATTTGTTATATCATTATTAAGATAATCATGTTTATATAAACACTATAAATGAGGAAGACTTCTCTTCTTCTAAACCTCGGGTCTGAATGCAGACACAATGGATAGCAGTGCAGCAGGTCTCCTGCCCTGTTTATTTCACCTGTTAGCCCTGCTGGTAATTGGGAGGATTTTAAAAATAAGTGAACACAGCAGCACGGATAGGTGATGTGCCTGAATGGTAACAAACTCAATTGATAAATTTAAAAGTCTGCATTCTTCAATTCTTGTACACGTCTCTTGACAAAAATGCTTGCTGCACACAAACAGCTTTGCTGTATTGGCCCTGACAGCATTTCGAGTGGATCATGGAAACAAACACATACAACCCTTCATGATACTGTGTGTCACAGTTTGGCAGGTCTACCTTGCTTTCGGAAACCAGATGTACTTATGAATAATTAAGAAGCAGGGTCTTCTCATAGGATAAGAAAACTCCAGTATGAATAATAATGAGAGATCGACTGTCATCACTCCACTAGCAGATTCGTGCTACATCACCGATTTTAAGCCTGCCTCAATAATTATTTAAGTCCCGGAAGATGAGATTAGCTGACAAAAGCTCAAAATTATCCAGTATTCCCCACAATTAAAGCTGGCAGGTGCTAACATTGTCTTAACTAAAGCTCAACACTCACAAATCAATTAAAATCTCAAAAAAAGTACTCAAGGGTTTCTTGAACCTTAATAGTTTTTAAGGTAAAAGTTGGTTTTAGGTTTTGGGAAGGATTAGGGATGCAGGATAAGATCATACTTTTAAACTACTAATAAACAGTTAAAGGTGCAGTAGGGGACTGTCTTCCGAAACATTTTTGTTGTGCTGGTTTAAAGTCTCTTCACATTCCAATAGTAATGACTAAAGTAAATGATCTAAATGTATTCAGATGTATTTTTATATTCTGAATAAGGCATAAAACTAAAAAAATGCTCATCGAATTCAATGTTGTCTGACCAACAAATTACACAATTACGACAGGTAACTCAAACTGTCTGTCAACAAATTTAAATTTGAATTTCTGCACAGCCTCTTTAAGCAGACAGATACGTCACTTGCGCACACATGTGAAGCACACATCTATTGCTGACAGAGGTCGTCATCCGCAAACTCTGCATCAACCTGAACTTCTTTCTGAAAGACCAACGTGGCCTTGTATGCATGAAAAGAAAGATTATTTCTGAAATGGCTTATGCCAAAAATGCAGAATCAAAACTTTTCTAAACCTTTAATCAATATTGGAATTACTTTTGCACGCTGGAAGGCAATGACGTTATGCAGTTCAAAACAATGATCCGAAGGATGACACCACGGCTGTATTTCTTGAATTATTTTCTGAAAACTATTTTAGCCAAAACTATTTTAGCCACGCAAAGCTTATGTAGACTGTGTTCTTGTTTATGAATGGGTTTATATGCACGGTAGTGTTATTCAGCCACTGAAAACTTTCGGCAGAAGATTAGCTATTTTCAATTTCATGAAGTGCCTGTTACAGCATCGATAAGATAGTCAGTTAAATAGACCTGCACATTCATTTAGTTGTTCAAGTGTAAAAGGAGATGCAATGTAAAAACAAGCGATGTATGAATACCAGGGAGCACAATTGAAAAGTAAAAGTCATTGTTTTGGTAACGTAAACATAAGTAAAGTAAAAAGATGACAGGATATTTCTGTTTTAGCACTTATTTTTCTGATCTAAATTTTATTTAGCTTAAGATCAAAACATAAGTAAATAGCGCTCTTCCGTTTAACCAGCTTTACAGAGGTGAAGTTTGATTTAAAATTTCTAAGCTATTATGCTAATGCTAGCATTCTGGCAGATCACCTACTGCACCTTTAATATATTGATAATAGGCAGGTAATAAGAGAGTAGTTAACAGCATGAATTGTGACCTAAACTACTGTGTTACTCACTTTTCTATTGTTATTCAGTGTAAACGCACTAGACGGATGTTCATAAGGAGTTCATGAGCAGTTACGAAAGGGTTAATGATAATGTGTCCCTCCAAGTAAAGTCATGATATAATTATACATTAATATTTCATGAGTTCATGATGGTTAAATTAAGCATAATGTGTTTATTAATACATTATTTAACAATCACGCAACCATTGAATTCCATAGTATTTGTTTTTCTCACTATGGAGGTCAATACAGGTTTCTAACAGAAACAGAAACTCATGGATGTTTGGAACCCCTTGAGAGTGAGTAAATGATGAATGAATTCTCATTTTTGGTTGAACTATGCCTTTAAGCCTTCAATGTACATTTTCTGTGATAACAATGCTTTTAACTTTTGCAGTAAAATTCCCTTTATTATTTTCTGGGCAGAACAAAGTAAAAAAAAAAAAAAACTGGTTAAAACAAGTGTCATGATTTCATAATGAAGATGAGACTTCTGTAACTGCTAGAATAGTGACATTCATAGAAGGCTAACGCTGTACCAAATTCAATTAATGTAACATGATTTATACATTCAAAATTTCTTTAGATTTTAGCATACAGTTTTTAGATTTCCTATTAATTGGAATTCATTACCCTATATATATATATATATATATATATATATATATATATATATATATATATATATATATATATATATATATATATACGGCTTGGGAACGAATAATTCTCTGGGCATCTCTGAGGGGTTGTAACCCGTGCGAGAGCTCGTTTAACCCTACGTTCGATTCCCCAGACTAAGGCTCCAACAACACAGCCTTTAGCACGAATGGGTTCCGGGGTGGAGTCGTTGTCTGAGGGGTTGAACAGGCGTGATAGCGCATCTGGTTTGACATTTTTAGAACCTGGATGATAAGAGATGGTGAAGTCAAATCGGCCAAAGAATAATGCTCACCGCGCCTGTCGAGCATTGAGTCTTTTTGCAGTATGGATGTAAGTCAGTATGCGATGATGAATAGAGACTATATAGCTTAGAAACGGAACCGAGTCCACTCGTGCCCGG